CTCACTAAACTGCTCTCCCTCCTTAAACCCAGCTGAGACTCTCTGCCACCATGGTGGGACCTTCCTCCCACTCAGCACCCAGTGCTTAGCCAACAGTGGATGCACCCAGGCAGAAGACTCCCGCTCATGCCGGACAGCCTCCTGCCATGCTGATGGCCAAGGTTTCTAGACCCATTTTCTTGCACTGAGCCCAGGCCACCCTGCAGGGTGCAGAGAGGTCCATCAAGTGCCTCTTGCATGAGTCCCTCCCTCCAGGATGCTTTAGCCAGTTACCCCTTGTCTGCCATAGGCCCCCACAAAAAAAATTTTAATGAAGGCCCTGACTTCCAAGATGTGTAAAGAAAAGTGTGAAGCCAGCTGCCACCCTGGCCTTCCTGGCTCAGGGATAAGTGTCTCTTCTCAAGGTGAGTGTGAGCACACAGGGTCACTTGCTGAGCTGTTCTGGGCTCTGTTTCTACTATTGACTGTAGTGAGACACTGTTTCAAGCAGCTGTGAAACCTAGGCCATCAGAGCTAGTCGTGGCTGGGTCCCTACCACCAGCATGACGGAAGCAGAAGGGCTGCTCAAGCCCATGAGTTCAAAGTCACCTGGGTGACACAGCAAGGACACCCAACCCCCCAAAAAAAAGAATAACCAAAACCAAAAACAACAGGCAGCCATTCAGGCTGTTCAGAGTGTACACTTCATGTATATGGGTGTGCTAACCAATAAAATTGCTCCAACAAATATTCTTATCCACTAAAAAACATCTTATAGGAATAGCATTCCACACGAAACCACCCACTGGCTCCATTAGAGACCAGGCAAGGTGCATATATCTAGCACTTACAGTCTCCCCTGAAGGTTCTTGTCCATCTCCAGCAAGTCTGGCAAATCCTCATGCAGCGCCAGGATCGGCCCAGAGAGTCCACGTAATCCACCCTGAAATGCAAGTGGGAAGGTGGGAAGGCTGGGCACATGTTCTAGGGTCCCCAGGCCAGGGAGCCACACACAATGAGGAGCAAGGACTCTCGGGCAGAAGTACCCTCAGCCCAGGCTGCTGCCCATAGAAGCTGCTTACAGCCAATGAAATACGAGATGTAATAAAAAACCTACTGACAAAGAAAAGTCCAGGCCCAGATGGATTCACAGCAGAATTCTATAAGAGATTTACAGAAGATGTAGTCCCTATACTCCTCAAACTCTTCAATGAAGTTGAAAAGGAAGCAATCCTCCCAAAATCAAAATCAAATACTTTCCTAGAGGCAAGTATTATACTGATACCAAAACCAGGGAAAGACGCAACTAAGAAAGAGAACTATAGGCCTATCTCCCTCATGAACATAGATGCCAAAATCCTTAATAAAATCCTAGCAAATAGAATACAGCAAATCACCAAGAAGATCATACACCATGACCAGGTAGGATTCATCCCAGGGATGCAAGGATGGTTCAATATTCGAAAATGTACAAATGTAATACACTATATCAATAGAGCGAAAACTAAAAACCACATGTTCATCTCCGTTGATGCAGAAAAGGCTTTGGACAAAGTCCAATACTCATTCATGTTCAAAGTCCTAAGGAAAACTGGAATAGACGGCCTCTATTTCAATCTGGTAAAAGCAATTTATGAAAACCCAATGGCTAACATAATTCTAAATGGGGAAAAACTGAAATCTTTTACTCTTAGATTTGGTATAAGACAAGCATGTCCTCTATCACCCCTCCTATTCAATATAGTTCTAGAATCATTAGCTACAGCCATTAGACAAGAGAAAGAAATAAAAGGAATAAGAACAGGTAAAGAAGAAGTTAAATTACCATTATTTGCAGACAACATGATACTTTACTTGGAAGATCCAAAAAACTCCTCCAAGAAGCTATTAGAATTAATACAGAAATTCAGTAGCATAGCAGG